TCTTCTAGTTCTTAATTTGTGGAACTCAGTGCGCCAGACGCAAGCACCTCCAAGATTTCCGTGGCGACTTGGCACACGGGTTTTATCATCCGGACCGTAGGTGAAAGCAGCCGACTGTGTCTTTTTTGACTCCTTCGCAATCGTGTGACGGCATGCCAGGCGTTCTTCCTAGCCATGGACGAGTGCGCAATAATAAAGGTAACAAAGTGCACATTTGGTTGGATAATTGATGTCTTAGCTTTCAGACCGTATCCATACTTTCTCCGTGCCAGCAGTTGTCCATGCGGTGTGACTTTTCTATCCGCCTCGAGTGGCCATGATGGACCAACGGGCCTACACCATGGAAGATTTCCTAGGAGATGGGCGCACAACCTGCGTACAGGTGGGGGACACATGCAGTGATGCGCAACACTTTGACAGAATGCTTCCTGACAGGCCGTTTCATGTCTCTCCATTTTCTTTGCAGCCTTCCGTGTGTGTCTTTTCTGACACAAAGGCGCAGTGTCACGTTGCGGTACCGATGTCGTTTGGTCTTGTAGCCTACGTGTCAATCTTTTCTGACGGCACGAAACAAGCAGCAGTGTGTCCATTTTCCTGACCCCTTGCTTCGATGATGACTCCGGCCTTGCAAGGTTTCGTACTTGTCTTTTCTGATGGTAACCCTCCAGACTGGTCACGTTGCGGGGTCAAAAGCTTTGGGACAAATAGATAGGTAAGATGGTCAGATAGATGGATGGATGGATGGATGGATAAGTAGATGGGTGGATAGGTAGATAGGTAGATGGGTACGAAGATAAATAAATAAATGGATTGATGGGTAGATAGATGGATAGAGGTAGCTGGGTAGGTAGACAGATTGATAGAGATTGAAAGATAGATAGGTAATTAGATGAGAGAGAGAGAGATAGATAGATTGATAGATAGATAGGTAATTAATGAGAGAGAGAGATAGATAGATTGATAGATAGATAGGTAATTAGATGAGAGAGTGCGAGAGTGAGATAGATAGATAGATAGACAGAGAGAGAGATAGATAGATAGACAGAGAGAGAGATAGAGAGAGAGAGAGATAGATAGATAGATAGATAGCTAGATAGGATTAGATAGATAGATAGATCGATAGATAGATAGATAGATAGATTAGATAGATAGATAGATAGATAGATTAGATTAGATTGGATTAGATTAGATTAGATAGATCAGATAGATAGATCAGATAGATAGATCAGATAGATAGATAGATAGATAGATAGATCGATCGATCGATCGATAGATAGATAGATAGATAGATAGACAGAGAGAGAGATAGATAGATAGACAGAGAGAGAGAGATAGAGAGAGAGAGATAGATAGATAGATAGATAGGATTAGATAGGTAGATAGGTAGGTAAGGTAAGGTAAGGTAAGGTAAGGTTAGGTTAGGTTAGGTTAGGTTAGGTAGAGAGAGAGAGAGAGAGAGAGAGAGGTAGGTAGGTAGGTAGGTAGCCAGAGAAAGAGAGAGAACAAGAGGAGACCTCAACCACCTTTCGGTCCATCAGTGGATTCGGTTTGCCATCCGTGATTCGCAACAACCAACCTCTCCTATATGTTTTCTATTTTGAAACTTCCGCCACCGCCTTGTGCGGTACTACTGGTAGTCCGGTATTGTATACTATATTCCCAATATAAATAAATTCACATGCATCCCATAGTGAATTCATGTGCATCCCATATTATATCCCATTACAGTCCCACAATCACCATAATTCATGGATCAACGTTCCCATGTTTCACCACTTCAACCCATTATGTATATATATATATACATACATCCATATACATATATAGAATGGGCTAGCGCCCTGGTGCCGCCGACCCCTCGTTAGTGGGGGGGTCGGTAACATGTGCATGTTCCCCGCAGCCGTCTTTTGTGGGCCACCTTGTCCATGGACATCTTGGTCGCGTTGAAGAAGCCATTGATGTGGCCGTGGGGTGCCTTTTGCCTGCGAGGTTGGCATGCCAAGAGGATGTTTAAGCGTTTGAAGGGTTTTAAGCGTTAGAAGGCTGGCAAACGGCAGGCTTGAACGCCCATAAGAAGCCATTGATCTGGCCTTGGGGAGTCTGTTGCCTGCGTAGTTAGGCGTGCCAAAAAAAAATTTAAGCGTTTAAATGTTGAAAGGCTGGCTAACGGCAAGCTTGAACGCCCATGAGAAGCCATTGATCTGGCCTGGGGTGCCTGTTGCCTGCGGGGTTGGGCGTGCCAAGAAAATTTTTAAGCGTTGTAAAGGTTTTAAGGGTTTAAGGCCTGGCAAACGGCAGGCTTGAACGCCCATAAGAAGCTATTGATGTAGCCTTGGGGTACCTTGTGCCTGCGGGGTTGGGCGTAGCAAGAGGATTTTGCAGCGTTGTAAGGGTTTTAAGCGTTTAAGGCCTGGCAAACGGCAGGCTTGAACGCCCATGAGAAGCCATTGGTGTGGCCTTGGGGTAGCTTGCGCCTGCGGGGTTGGGCGTAGCAAGAGGATTTTGCAGCGTTGTAAGTGTTTTAAGGGTTTAAGGCCTGGCAAACGGCAGGCTTGAACGCCCATAAGAAGCTATTGATGTGGCCTTGGGGTAGCTTGCGCCTGCGGGGTTGGGCGTAGCAAGAGGATTTTGCAGCGTTGTAAGGGTTTTGAGGGTTTAAGGCCTGGCAAACGGCAGGCTTGAACGCCCATAAGAAGCCATTGATGTGGCCTTGGGGTAGCTTGTGCCTGCGGGATTGGGCGGAGCAAGAGGATTTTGCAGCGTTGTAAGGGTTTTAAGCGTTTAAGGCCTGGCAAACGGCAGGCTTGAACGCCCATAAAAAGCCATTGGTGTGGCCTTGGGGTAGCTTGTGCCTGCGGGGTTGGGCGTAGCAAGAGGGTTTTGCAGCGTTGTAAGGGTTTTAAGCGTTTAAGGCCTGGCAAACGGCAGGCTTGAACGCCCATAAGAAGCCATTCATGTGGCCTTGGGGTAGCTTGTGCCTGCGGTGGTTGGGCGTAGCAAGACGATTTTGCAGCGTTGTAAGGGTTTTAAGCGTTTAAGGCCTGGCAAACGGCAGGCTTGAACGCCCATAAGAAGCCATTGATGTGGCCTTGGGGTAGCTTGTGCCTGCTGGGTTGGGCGTAGCAAGAAGATTTTGCAGCGTTGTAATGATTTCCAGGGTTTAAGTTAAGGCCTGGCAAACGGCAGGCTTGAACGGCCATAAGAAGCCATTGATGTGGCCTTGGGGTAGCTTGTGCCTGTGGGATTGGGCGGAGCAAGAGGATTCTGCAGCGTTGTAAGGGTTTTAAGCGTTTAAGGCCTGGCAAACGGCAGGCTTGAACGCCCATAAGAAGCCATTGATGTGGCCTTGGGGTAGCTTGTGCCTGCGGGGTTGGGCGTAGCAAGGTTAAGGCCTGGCAAACGGCAGGCTTGAACGCCCAAGAGAAGCCATTGATGTGGCCTTGGGGTAGCTCGTGCCTGGCCTTGGGGTGCCTGTTGCCTGCGGGGGTTGGGCGTGGCAAGAAGATTTTGCAGGGTTGTAAGGGTTTTAAGCGTTTAAGGCCTCGCAAACGGCAGGCTTGAACGCCCATAAGAAGCCATTCATGTGGCCTTGGGGTAGCTTGTGCCTGCGGGGTTGGGCGTAGCAAGAGGATTTTGCAGCGTTAAGGGTTTTAAGGGTTTAAGGCCTGGCAAACGGCAGGCTTGAACGCCCAAAAGAAGCCATTGATGTGGCCTTGGGGTAGCTTGTGCCTGCGGGGTTGGGCGTAGCAAGAGGATTTTGGAGCGTTATAAGGGTTTCAAGCGTTTAAGGCCTGGCAAACGGCAGGCTTGAACGCCCATAAGAAGCCATTGATGTGGCCTTGGGGTAGCTTGTGCCTGCGGGGTTGGGCGTAGCAAGAGGATTTTGCAGCGTTGTAAGGGTTTTAAGGGTTTAAGGCCTGGCAAACGGCAGGCTTGAACGCCCATAAGAAGCCATTGATGTGGCCTTGGGGTGCCTGTTGCCTGCCAAGAAGATTATTATATAAGCGGTGTAAGGGTTTTAAGGGTTTAAGGCCTGGCAAACGGCAGGCTTGAACGCCCATAAGAAGCCATTGAGGCCTTGGGGTAGCTTGTGCCGGCGGGGTTGGGCGTAGCAAGAGGATTTTGCAGCGTTGTAAAGGTTTTAAGGGTTTAAGGCCTGGCAAAGGGCAGGCTTGAACGCCCATAAGAAGCCATTGATGTGGCCTTGGGGTGCCTGTTGCCTGCGGGGTTGGGCGTGCCAAGAAGATTTTGCAGCGTTGTAAGGGTTTTAAGGGTTTAAGGCCTGGCAAACGGCAGGCTTGAACGCCCACAAGAAGCCATTGATGTGGCCTTGGGGTAGCTTGTGCCTGCGTGGTTGGGCGTAGCAAGAGGATTTTGCAGCGTTGTAAGCGTTTTAATGGTTTAAGGCCTGGCAAACGGTAGGCTTGAACGCCCATAAGAAGCTATTGATGTGGCCTTGGGGTAGCTTGTGCCTGCGGGATTGGGCGGAGCAAGAGGATTTTGCAGCGTTGTAAGGGTTTTAAGCGTTTAAGGCCTGGCAAACGGCAGGCTTGAACGCCCATAAGGAGCCATTGATGTGGCCTTGGGGTAGCTTGTGCCTGCGGGGTTGGGCGTGCCAGGAGGATTTTGAAGTATTTTAAGCGTTGAAAGGCTCGCAAACGGCAGGCTTGAACGTCCATGAGAAGCTATTGATCTGGCCTTGGGGTGCCTGTTGCCTGCGGGGTTGGGCGTGCCAAGAAGATTTTTAAGCGTTGTAAGCCGACAAAAACAGGTTTCACACCTCCGGTGGTCCCAGGCGCCGCCCCTGCCTTGGCGAAGGTAGGGGTCGGCGGATATATATATATATATACACACACATATACATATGTATATACATGTATATATATATATACATATTTACATATATATACATATCCCATATTGTATCCCCATTATATATATATATATATCACCAGAATTTATGCCTGGTTTCTCATATAAATCGACGTTTTTGAGCCCAGGTGGGCCAACGCTTCTGCATTGCCAGCTTGGCGGAGGCAGGCCAATCAGGCCGGCGGTTGAAAAAAACGGAAGTCAAACTGGGTTGAACTAGGTCATTTGGTATCAGTGGGATTATCTGCGTTCACTAGCTAAGTTTTTTTTTTGCAGGGTATCTAAGATTGGCCATGTGAAGCCTGCAAATGTCGGGAAAAACCATGGAAAAACTCGAAAAAAAATGTTAGTCATCAACGATGGTTTGTCATCATTTTCGCATTGAAATTACTAAAATATGGGGCACACCATTTTTTCAGGAGCCAAATGGTTGTTGAACCTCCGGTAAAACGAAGATAGATATGGAACATCCGCGTGTGTAGATCATTTCCGAATGGGCAACCCATGGATTGCCATGGTGCTGTGTATGTTTACAGGAGGTAACCAACCAGAAGTACATGTGATTTAAGCAACAAACATGGATCCATGGAAATTTAGGTGAAACAAGGGACAATTTCACCAATTTCGCCAGCAAAGATGAACAAATCATAGCTTACACGAATGAGTGTTTAAACTGCAAAAAATGAAATGCAAACAACCAAAAAAAGGTGATTTTGAGTTGTTCTTACTGGGTTGACGGGTCAATACCAATCAGGTTTCATGTGTTGTAAGCCACTTAGTCCAATGAATTTTCCGGTGAAGATAATGCTGGGGAAAAAAACAAGTACTGGGATGGCTAAACCCATCCAGGAGTCTGATACTTGAAAATTTTGAAAGTAATGTTCAAAATCCCCAAACCGGGCGTGTACCAACATGTCAAATATAGTTTTTTTGTTTATTTTTTTGGTTGTCAACTGCAATGTGTGCATTGGGGACCCTAACGAACCATCAGAATTGTCTTACTTGAACATATGTTTTTTGGCATCTCCTCAAATTCGATGTTGAGGTAGCTACACACTGTAACTATGCATATATATATATATATATACATACATGTATGATCATGTATGTTCTTGCGCATGTACAGATGTTTATCTTCTTGTTTATGGTTACATTATTTATAACATGACTGCTGATACGTCATTATGATATTTAAACATATGTAATGATATTTGTATATATTTATAATTGTATTATATTATATATATATATATATATATGTATATCGCATTGATTTGCATTGCCATCTTTGTGTATGTAGAGTACCGTGAAGTAATGCAAAGTAAAGCAAAACATAGACAGGAAAGTACGGTTACGTACTGTAATTGATGTATTTTTTGTATAGTATACATAGGAAACACTTTGTTTATTGATAGGCATATTACCAAAAAAAAACTTTACATACCATGCCATAGCAGCCACTGTTCCTTGAAATCCGATTAGGTGATGATTCATCGCATCAATTTACATGACTTCATTGCCTCATTGCATTGCACAGTTAAGGCCCTTTACCAGTTATAAGTACTTATAACCCCATTTATAGAATGTATAATCCCATTTATAATCAGTTATAACTAATAAATGGCCATAACTGCATTGGCTTGCACTACATGATACCCTCTGGTAAACTAACAGTTTGCTGTTGAAAATGGCCATAGACATAGTGGATTTAGCCATGAAAAATGGTGATGTTCCATTGTTACGTTAGTTTACCAGAGGGTACTACATGCATGTTTTGGTGTTTGTGTTTTTGAATATAAGCGTATCCGTAAACATTTCTGTATCTCTGTATATCGAATTATTTCTGTGGAGTCTTCAAAATCAATCAACATTTCCCCAAAACATGGTTTGTTCCATGCCAACAATGCAATTTCTGCTAGGCCCAATAGTACCCCATCTTTGAGCTGCAAATTTACCTAGGCATTTTGCTGGGTGACAGCACCGCCAAAGATGATGGCTAGTTAGGGGGACAACTTCACAATCACCTTGCTTAAGTTTTGTTTGTGAATTTTAATTCACCCAAATTTATGATGCCCAAAACCACAAAATTCATGTGGTATAAAACCCAAAACTATCACCCAATATGGTGAATTAAAACTACCAACACCACAAAACTATCATAACCAATGCCCAACCGTTCGTGTTTCCATGCAACATTTGAAACCCATCATTGAAAAAATGTCCACTCTCAATGTAAAAAATATCCACATGTATGTTTCTATATGATAATAATGACAATATATGACTAATACTACTGATAATACTAAGCAATAATGATAGCATTAAAAAACATGTATATATATATATGTATATATATATTTATATATATGTATATATATATATATATGTATATATATATGTATATATATATATATGTGTATATATATATATATGTATATATATATATATGTATATATATATATGTGTATATATATATATATTGTCACCTTGCACCTCCAAATCGACTCCATCACTACTACAGCTATGGCCCAAAAAACCGTTTCGTCCCATTTTTTACTAGGAGAATTCCTGCCATCCTGCGCGGTCGGCACAGGTCGGATGATGCCCATCCAAAACTTTGCCATTCAGTGGGAGTGTCCCTGGGCCTTGTTGTCGACACCCGTTGTTTTTTCTGGACAGGAAAACCGCATGGACAACGACAACCTTAACTATGGGATAATATATACATTCTATTTTGATGGTGTTTTCTTTGTACTTACAACTGGTATAACTTGGGCCTTAACTGTATGGATGTAATGGGATTTACATGGATATGTACAGTTATGGCCCGAAATACCAGTTGTAAGTCAATAATAACACCATTGTATGGAATGACAACCCCATAAAAATTACTTCACTTCGAATGATCCCCACCATGACCTTTATACATTTTCTTACTGGCAAATCTTCTGGCATTCTATCTGACATATCTTCTGGCATTCTATCTGGCATTCTATCTGGCATATGTTCTGGCATATCTTCTGGCATATCTTTTGGCATTCTATCTGGCAAATCTTCTGGCATTCTATCTGACATATCTTCTGGCATTCTGTCTGACATTCTATCTGGCATATCTTCTGACATTTTTCTGGCATTCTATCTGGCATATCTTTTGACATATCTTCTGACATTCTTTCTGGCATATCTTCTGACATTCTGTCTGGCATATCTTCTGACATTCTTTCTGACATTCTTTCTGGCATTCTATCTGGCATATCTTCTGACATTCTATCTGACATCTTTTCTGACATTCTTCCCGTTGAGATCCGGCAGTGCCCGCTGCGATCTGGAAGTTGCGGTTGAGGCCCGGCAGTGCCCACTGCGATCTGGAAGTCGCGGTTGAGGTCCGGCAGTGCCCACTGGGATCTGGAGCTCGCGGTTGAGGTCCGGCAGTGCCCACTGGGATCTGGAGCTCGCGGTTGAGGTCCGGCAGTGCCCACTGCGACCTGGAAGTCGCGGTTGAGGTCCGGCAGTGCCCACTGCGATCTGCAACTCGCGGTTGAGGTCCGGCAGTGCCCACTGGGATCTGGACTGCGAGGAGGAGGAGGAGGACGAGGAGGAGGAGGATGCGGAGGCGGAGGAGGAGGAGAACAGCTCTGATAAAATCTAACAACCCTCACCTGGCAGGTGGGGAAAAATACTTTACATATATTTTGTCTGACACATCTACAGATACATCTGTCTGACATTCTTTCCGACATTCTATCTGGCACATCTTCTCTCGACCTCCCCATCTATCTCGCATATCTAGCATATCTTCTGACATTCTATCTGGCATATCTTCTGACATTCTATCTGGCATATCTTCTGACATTCTTTCTGACATTCTTTCTGGCATTCTATCTGGCATATCTTCTGACATTCTTTCTGGCACTCTATCTGGCATATATTTATATATTCTTTCTGGCATATCTTGTGGCATTCAGAACATTCTTTCTGGCATATCTTATGACATTCTTTCTGGCATATCTTCTGACATTCTTTCTGACATTCTATCTGGCATATCTTCTGACATTTTTTCTGGCATTCTATCTGGCATTCTTTCTGACATTCTATCTGGCATATCTTCTGACATTTTTTCTGGCATTCTATCTGGCATATCTTCTGACATATGTTCTGGCATGTCTTCTGGCATTCTATCTGGCAAATCTTCTGACATTCTATCTGGCATATCTTCTGGCATTCTATCTGACATATCTTCTGGCATTCTATCTGGCATATCTTCTGGGATTCTATCTGACATATCTTCTGGCATTCTATCTGACATTCCATCTGGCATATCTTCTGGCATTCTATCTGGCCGTTGAGGTCCGGCAGTGCCCACTGGGATCTGGAGCTCGTGGTTGAGGTCCGGCAGTGCCCACTGCGACCTCGAAGTCGCGGTTGAGGTCCGGCAGTGCCCACTGCGATCTGGAAGTCGCGGTTGAGGTCGGGCAGTGCCCACTGCAACCTGGAAGTCGCGGTTGAGGTCCGGCAGTGCCCACTGCGATCTGGAATTCGCCGTTGAGGTCCGGCAGTGCGCACTGGGATCTGGAATTCGCCGTTGAGGTCCGGCAGTGCCCACTGCGATCTGGAAGCCGCGGTTGGGATCTGGACTGCGAGGAGGAGGAGGCGGACTGCGATCTGGAAGTCGCGGTTGGGATCTGGACTGCGAGGAGGAGGAGGCGGAGGAGATGGAGAAGGAGGATGCGGAGGCGGAGGAGGAGAACAGCTCTGATAAAATCTAACAACCCTCACCTGGCAGGTGGGGAATAACCATGAAAATAACTGGTGTTTCAGGCTTTAAGCGTAAACAAAAACATCGAATTCTTAATGCTGGATATGCCAGCAATTGGCCTGACATTTTGCTGCTACTATGTACATATATAATCATATATATATATACATATATGTATCATAAATGCTTAAACAACAAAAGCATCATCAACTCTATCAAGGTATCCCCTGAAACTTTCCACACTCCATTGAAATGGGCCGAAAATCCTGCTCTGCACTGAGGCTTATGTCCTATATGCCATGGAATCATGGTTTCCTGCAGCGTTTGTAGACCATTGTCCGAACGGGAAACCATCGGAGTTTTCCATGTCTACCGGATTTTTTTCCCGGAGCTGAGAGATTTTTGGATAAAGCCAACAGAAACGGGAGATGGTGCAGCTATGGCCATGGCTATTAGTGAACTAACTGGTTAATTTCTATGGGATAATATATACATTCTATAAATTGATGGGGTTATATATAAGTACTTATAACTGGTATAACTTGGGCCTTAACTGTGATGATGGTGTAGCAAAATTTCGCATTGCCTGCCTTGGTGAAGTTTTACCCTCTACCGCTATGGAAGCTATGGTCCATACCTGGTAGCCTGATTTTCCGGTTTTCCTCACGGTGGAGCCAGCGAAATCCGAATCACCAGTTGGTACAGTGACTGAGCCCGTTACGTTATACCAGTTATAAGTACTTATATATAACTCCATCAATTTATAGAATGTATATATTATCCCATAGATTTATAACCAGTTAGATCCAGTTAGTTCACTAAAAAATCGCCATGGCCATCAGGCCGGTAGATGGTTTATCGGATAAGAATCCCATGATATACGGATGTTCGTTTCATAGGTACCGAATGGTTCCCAACTGGTGCAGGATTTCTCTGGCCCATCCACAGTATGTGAATTTCTTGGAGCCTAAAACGATGCCAATATCCGGCTCAGTGTTTGAGGTTTTATCAACTACATGATGTCACCTCACAGGTGACATCATGTAAGGCTCTGGCAATGGGCGGCAGCTAGCCATGTTTGTTGATAAACCTTCATGTGTGGAAATTCCTTCCATATGGATCCATGGCCACTGTCTGAGAAGGTACGGCCAACCCTCCAAATTATCGTAAATTATGCCCGACTGGATCCGTAGGGCTTTAAGAATTTGGTTGTAACATGCTATAACCCTCTGACATTGGCAGAATTGGTGAAGCAAAGGGTGTGGATGATATTCCCATGTTTGCCATGTTTGATTGGTGATTCAGCCCGGCTTTGTCTGACCAGTGACTAGCTTCAGAGATTACTGAAAAATACTGAACGATGCCATTTGTTTTTGGGATCGAACCTGGGTCGTCCTGCATCTATATTCCAAATGGATGATAAGGCACCACATGTCTATGGCACCACATTTCTAAATAGTCTATAGTATTTATTTCGCAATCTAGCTGGGATATCTACAAGGTGGGGCCCTCCAGCTATGTTCGTTGATTTGTAAACCCCTATGAATACTCCAGGTATAAGTAATTACCATAGACCATAGTTTTGGGACTTATGTTGACCAACTTAGTTATCGTAAACGGGGGCCCCACTTTGTCTGGTTGGTGGTTTGGAACATTTTTAATTTTCCATTTCATATATATATATATGGGATAATCCTTCCCATTGACTTGCATATTTTTCAAGATGGTTAAAACCACCAACATTTTGCCGCGCCTGGCATCGAACGTGTCGCTACCCCAAGGCTGCCAGTCAGGTGGGGAGACCGGAGACCCTCACATCAGCACCATGGATCCTTGACACGTCAGGATGGTACCCTCTGGCAAACTAACATAGCTATGGACAATTACGGTAAATCCACTATAAATGGCAATTTTCAACAGTTTCCTATGGCATGCACCATGGCCCCGTGGCCCATTTCTAGTTGATCTACTATAAATGGTCAATTTTTCTCTCGCTATGTTAGTTTACCAGTGACTATAAGTCAGTGAAATAACACCATAAATTGGAATTATAATACCAATGGTCTCTATTTAAAACCATTTATAACTGGCCTTAATTGTAGCACTTTCATCGTTTGTCAACGGGCATTTGTTTCGTGCTATGTAGGCTTTATGCCCTCATCGTAATGTTCCCATAGGACAGCCGGGCATGTCTTGTTATGTCAAAAAGTCCGGTAGACCAAACGAAAAAAAGATAATACTATGATGATTTACTATGTATGCCCTAGAAATGCCCTAAAAATGGTATGTAAATGATTGTAAATGTGCGGAATGGAGTTTGGGATTACAAAGGGATTTCGTATAGACAAAATCCATGTTGGTTTGGACCAATTATCGCGACTTCATTGGCTGACTCTCTAAAGAATAGGTGGGAGTTTGTAAAAACCCCGTGCCTATTCGTTTAGTCTTCCATGATCCTCCATGAGCCATTTTTAGTTTTCACTCGAAAAAACGATAAGAGGAAAAAAACGATAACGTTGGTTATGTTAATGATCTGTGTCCAGACTCTTGAACTCCAAAGTTCTTGATTTTTCCATCATTCTGCGGCTATTTAGTGCTTTTGGTATCTTCCTTTTATTGTTTGCTGTCGTAATGGCGCAGATTCTGCACAAGGAAGGTGCCTGGTAGGTGGTCGCTACACTCCTTTTTTGATGATTGCCAGAAAAAAGGAACACACACATACACACAGGATTCACGAACGATAGCAAAACGATAACTTTTGACATCAAAAATGGTCCGTGTGAGACACTGCCTTTTTTTTCCTTTTCCTCTCCCTTTCCTCTCCCTTTCCTTTTTTCCGTCTCTTCCTGTACTCTTCCTTTCCTTCTCCTTTCCTTTTTCCTGTCCTTTTTCCTTTCCTTTTTCCTTTCCTTTTCCGTTTCCTTTTCCGTTCCTTTTCCTTTCGTTTTCCTTTTTCTTTTTCCTTTCCTTTTCCTCTCCCTTTCCTGTTCTTTCCTTTCCCTTTCCTTTTCCTTTCCTTTCCCTCTCCCTTTCCGAATTCTTTCCTTTCCCTTTCCTTTTCCTTTCCTTGTTCTCTCCCTTTCCTATCCCTTTCCTATTCCTTCCTTTCCCTTCCTTTACTATTCCTGTTCTTTTTCCCTGTTCTCGCTCATGTGAATTCTTTGATCAAGGTGAAGCCAGCGCTTGGAAAAACGATAAGAGGAAAAAACACGATAACGTTTGGAAAAACCATTTGAAAGGGCTCGGGGTTTTTACAAACCTCCAGGTGGTCAACGGAATCGTCCCGAAAAGGGCCTCTTTCCAGGTAAGGATTTCAGATGCGCGAAGTCATTGGTTCAGTTCTGGCCATGAAAACAGTTGTAAATGGAGAGATAGCTCCTATAACTAGTTGGTTATACATCATCATAATCCAATAAAAATAACTGTTAGTTGGGCCATAACTGTGTTTGTTTTTCTCGTTTTTTGTCTTCCCCATTGTTGATAAACAAATCAAAAAATCTGTTGCAGCAGTGATTTCCCATTTTTGTTTCGGGATCTTGGATGTTCTTCGATGAAGGGCAGCAGACAACGCGTTATTTGTGGCGTAGATTTCCCTCATTGAGACACATGTTTTGTTATATCATATCCCCATTACAGCAACCCCCAAAAAGATGCCGAGTGTTTCGAAGATGGTACAAAAAGTGGGGCCCCCGTTTACGATAGCTAAGTAGGTGAATAACTTCAATAACTATGGTTTATGGTACTTATATGTACTTATAACTATAGTTACTGGGGATTATACACCAACTTATATCTGGGGGGCCCCACATTGTAGTTCGATGATAGTTCAGGTTTCCTACTTTTTATCGACTTTTTGGGGGATCCCCATTGTCTTACCATCTGCCCCAACTTATTTCCTGCAGATATGGACATTTATGAGTTTAACTTGTCATTTCTATGGGATAAAAAACATTCTATAAATGGGCTTCTGTTACTACTTATAACTGGTATTTCGGGCTATCTCTGTGCAGATTTTCGCTCAAATCATTCCCTTGATGTTTTTTCTCGTCCGAAAAGGATGGGAAGCACTACACCATGCTGCAAGAAGGCTGGGCAGCGCACAGCAACGACATCTGCTATTGATTGCTAAAGCAATCAAAGCCCGGTCGATGAGTTCTTATCGTAGGGTTCACTACCTGGTTTACCGAGGTTTTTGGTGACTCCTCATAGAAATCTCTGAAATCTCTATCAGTCAACAAGTATTTTCAGGGATTACAGAGGGTTTTGAACGCTGCTCATGTGTTAACAAACCTTAAAAAAAACATTCATCCCAGAGCTTGTCAGATTCAGATTTGCTGTGAAGACAAGAAGTTGGAAATGTTTGGATGACTTGGAAGTAGCTTGCTGTCTTTGACGGCCCCGAAAAATGCTGTTGCTTTCTGTATTGCAGAAATTCAAATCGCCAAGGGGATCGGGATCCCTTTACCAAACCTACTGGGTCATTAATTAACCACTACAGTTTTCCTGGCCCGAAATACCAGGCAAAAGTCAGTGAAATCACCCCATAGAAATGGAATGATAAGCCCATAGAAATAACCATGTATCTTTGGTAGAGGGTTTTAACTCGTTACAATCATGTTATTTCCATATAATATACGATATGTGATTTACATATACATATTATATAAAATATACATAATACTATTTGTTGGTAGATTTATATAATTTATATATACAATATGTATCGATATGTGATTTCCCCGCCAACCACCTCAACAGGCAGCTCAATAAATATGACCCCCACAGGTAGCTCAATAGTACATGGTCACCCCTCCCCTCCCAGTAGTTATATCAGTTATGTTTGTTGGTTGAAAATAACCCCAGCTATAGATATGTCTACCATAAACCATAGCTACTGTAGCCTAGGTATAATTGAACTTAGCTATCGTAAATGGGGGCCCTACCTTTTACCTTTTCATAAGGCTTAGTGGTGGCCTAGCCTTGACAGTTTCTCGACCGGAGGGTCATCCCACGAATCGTGCTGGTAAGGAAAACCCTGGCGATCGGATTCGTACCCGATGAGTAGCTTATCCCATTCACTGCACACCGAACATCTCATACTGCCTGGTGGTTTGGAACATGAATTTTATTTTTCCATATATTGGGAATTTCATAATCCCAACTGACTTTCATATGTTTCAGAGGGGTAGGTATACCACCAACCAGTCATATGATACAATAATGGGAAAATCCAGGATAAATCCAGCGGATTCTCCAAACAAAAGACTTCCATTTCTACAATGTGAGCCCCCCCAGTTATAAGTTGGTTTATAAGCCCCAGCAACTATAGCTATAAATGCCATAAACCATAGTGAAATTGGACTTATGTTCACCAACTTAGCTATCGTTTGAGGGCCTCACATTGTATAGGATTTCCTGCAAAGACTTGATTTTCGGAGGAGATATCATCATGGCCTTCATGAGATTCCCCTTTTTCAATGGTAATTTCAGGATCCTAAATGGAGGTACTGTACCATATAAGACATTTTTTTGTGGGGATATTCCCTTACATAGGCCTTATATAGGCCTTATATATGGTATAGGTACCTCCAATTTAGGTTCCCGAAATGGCCATTGACTTTTTTAGTGAACCATGTTTCATCTCCCCATGGGATACCCCAAATATCTGGGTAAATTTGATCACGACCGAACCCTGTTCTCCCGAAGCCTGGAATCATAGTTTATTTTAGGGAAATCATCCCCACATGGCCGAACTATTCAGGTTAGTGAAATACTATTGAGGAAAGCCAGATCACATGGCTATGAACAAGTGTAGTATCTGTCCATTATCGACTGAATCTTGCAGGCATTTTGATCACAGAACAAAAGGGTGCCCTCGTGTTTTCCGAGGGTTATGAGCCCAAACGAGCGGCAATGGAGTCAAGAATGAAAAGATCTACCTCGATGCCGCCTGAGAATCCTTTTTGGAGTGAAAAAACCCAGTCAGAACATGCCCTCCAGTTTTTTCGACCAGAAGCATTAGATGGACATACGGCACCAATTCCACCAGATGAAGACCTAGATGATTCTCCAAAACCCCTCCAGTCAAGCGGCCAGCAGGGGATGCCGGAGCAGAGTCAGGTCACTTCCTTTGAGACGCCTGGCAGTCCGCGCGCTGAGAAGCCTCAAGATGCGGATGAGCAGGAGATGGAAGCCGAGGACGGTGGGTGTGGAGACCGTGAGGCATCTGGTATGGGAATCACAGAAGAGAAAAAATTGGATGGGATGTGGAATAGGAGGTTGCAGGCTGGTGGTAGTCATGTGGATGAGTCTTTGGAAAAGACGGTGAAAGAAGAGAAGCATGGTAGGCAGTTGGAGGAAGAACTAGCGGGTGAGGTGTTGTGGCATTTTCAACAAGAGACAGTGCGTCTGCAGAAACAGAATGATGCACTGGTCATGGAACTTCAGCGTTTGAAAGATGAAAAAGTGTCCCAACAAGCACTGGCTGTTCCACCATCATGGTCTCATGAGAGGGCACCAACACCTCCCCCTAGACCTTCACCTGGTACGCATGGTACCCAACAATGGATGTCACCAGAATCATGTCTTCTCACTCCGAATGGCACACGTGTTCCTAGTGGACCACCACCGCCAAGCCCTCCAGAGCTTCCTTCATGGCCTCCGATGTTGGCCAACTATGAGGTTGTTGAACCGCCACGGAAGCTGAGAGGAGTGATGGGCGATCGTGTGTATCAAGTGGGCCATGGAACATGTTCACCTAGGACGGCTAGAAGTTTTTGGTTGGAACAAGAAGTAGCAGCTTTGAAAGAGCGGTTGGAGCATGAGTCGTTTAGATCAAAGCAATTTCAAAGTAGCTACTGGGCGAAACCATTTTTGACTGAAGAGGCAAAGGTCAAAGAGGTTGCAGAGTCTGTTGAATGCATGCGACGTCAAGCTGGGTTGGATGTACCTAGCATGAAGCATGGATCGCATGTGCATGGTGAACAACATCATCAAGATCGGGCTCGCATGGAGCAGGCAACTGGTCAGGCTGATGCCGCATTTGCAGCTGAGCATGGTGATCACCGCAGAGAAGCTCGGGCTGGCGTGGGCACTGCATTCGTTCATGGAGAACATTGTCAACAAGCTCGGGCTAGCACGGCATTTGGTCATGGTGGTCATCTTTGCGCTAGCACTGCATTTGTTCACGGTGGACATTTTCAAGAAGGTCGGGCTTGCATGGCATCTGAGCATGGTGAACCTCGTGGGGGCGGTCGGGCTAGGGCGTCTCTTGAGCACGGGGGACATCCACAAGACGATCGGGCTTGCATTGCTCCTGAGCAGAGCCTTGGTGAAGTATATCAACATGATCCGACTGGCACTCATGGCGGAGCTCGGCGGTGGGATCGGAACACGGTGGAGGATGGTGATCTGAAAAGCGTCCCAATCCAATTGCCGTCACTTCCATTACCTGAGGGACGTGATGCCAGTCTGGAGGCTGGAGATTGGCTGGTGCAGCTGGAACCACTGGTGGGAGACTTATCGAGGAATGCAGCGGGCTGGTGGAAACGCGTGATGCAAGCTACCACCACAACCTATGCAGAATGGCTTCATGCAGATCCTCTCTCCAGGTTGAAGGTTCTTCCTCCCAACAATGGACCTTTGTGCGCTGGATATGAACGACTTGACCAGCGCATGACCAGTCTGTTGCTTCAAGCTGTTCCCAAGTCCATCAAGTCATAGCAACAAGAGAATTGACGACGACGGCAATACTCTTCCGGGTGATGCGCACCTATCAACCAGGTGGTCTCATCGAGAAATCGAGGCTTCTGGAAGATCTCACCACGATCCCAACAACCAAGACGGCGCAGGAGGTGGTGGCATCTTTACGGCTGTGGAAGAGGAAGGCAAGTCGTGCCTCTGAGCTATGTGCGCAGTTGCCAGATCCACTCCTTTTGATCAGAACTTTGGATGGAATTGCAAAGCCAGTGGTGGATGGATCACATCAAGCGAGCTTCAGAATAGCATCGTTCAGGATGAACTATGGCCTGGACATCAGACCATCCATTACGAATGTCTGGCTTTTCTACGACCTTTTGCTGGCCGAAGCTGAGGTTGCAGTGCATTCTACAACAATGGCATCTCCTGGGGAGGCAAAGACAACCACAAAAGCTGTGAAAGTCTTGCAAAGTCCATCTGCATCCAAGCCAACCACTACTGCAGCGAATGCATGGCCCTGCAAGTTTTGGATGACAGATGGCGGTTGTCGACAAGCCCAACGATGTAGATGGCCTCACCCTTGGGATGGTGCAAGTGATAAAGGTGTACGTTGTTGGTCGTGCAGCTCAAATCAACATCTACAACCTGATTGCCCATACAAGACACAGGTGCGATCACCTGTGGGGGGAGATGGTGGAGGAAGCAAAGATGAGATTGGAGGCAGTGGTCAGAAAAGTGGAGAAAAAGGAAAAGGAAAAGGTAAAACGGGCAACAAAGGAAAAAGCAAACAAGAAGGCAGCCCTCAGAAAGCCACCAAAGAAACTTCCTCTACGACCGACGTGAAAAAGGAGGAGAACACAAACAAGACTGCAACTACAACAAAGGAGGATGAAGTCACCAGCAAGAGTGATGTGGCGACATCAAGTGGAATTGGGGCAGGAGGTGGAAAGAAGGCTGATAGCGGTGGAACTGGGGGTGGAACGAGTGAGCTGCTCCAGGAGGCCACAAAACTGCTGAAGTCTCTTCATCTACCAAGTGCCAAGATGATCACCCTGAAAGAAATTGGAGATCTACAAGCTAATCCCACAGACTTGATGTTGTTGGACAGTGGCGCAACCCACGCTTTGAGGAGGTCAAAGTCATGGAGTGAGTGGGAACAAGCTACACCAACAGTTGTGGCGTTGGCACAGGGGACTACATCAAGTCTGCGGATCAAGCCAGGCACTGACACTCTTTTGGCGACTCCTGAGGATTGCAGTTTTGGAAATGGCATTTTGCCTATGGGTGCACTGATGAAGATTGGCTATGAGGTCACGTGGATCGGGGGAGTCTGCAAAATGAAAGGTCCTGATGGCAATGATGTTGAGGTGAAGGTGATCAATGGATGTC